TGGTACACGCCCGCTTGATCCGGTGGCTGGACGAACACCACCTCCTCCCATCAAATATGACTGGGTTCAGGTCCCGTCTCTCCGCACAAGACAGCATCCTGGACATTGTCAGTGCAGTGCAGAATGCAGTAGCTAGCCGTAAGTCTACCGTGGCGGCCTTCTTCGACATCCAGGCTGCCTTCGAAAATGTGGAACCGACATCAGTCCTGGCCCAACTAACCTCTTGGGTGTCACGGGAAGAGTTTCCTCTCGAGCCGATCAATCCAAGTAAAAATGGGCAACACACACTGGTGTCACAACCAGACTGTTTAAAAAAACATTTTTTTTCTTTTCAGGGCCCTTTTATGGCAAGCGGACCGGTTCCCACCCGGTGCCGGTGCTCCAATTAGATTACCACTGCAAGGTATACATTACTCAATGGCATGTGAAGAGTATAAAAGCGTCTACTTGCCACCACTCAATATGCAACTAGAAAATATCGAGAACGTACCTGCATAGACTACATTAAACTGATGATATATTACTTCCTTGTGAAAACTCAGTCACCGTCTTCGTCCTCATTATTTAGAGGGGGCAAGGGGGTGGCCTGTCATTAGCCAGCTTGATTCAACGACCAAGTTCGCAATTTTTATGATGGCGGCGCCCTTAAAAAAACGTCTTTAGAGTGGACGATGCGATCGTTGAGCCCTGAGAATAAATCGTCGTCCAAGCGTGAACTAAGAATATCTGGAATCCAGAATGTTATTAATGTGCGCAATAAACAACATGAGCGTAACTTGTGTTGCCGAGGGTCATCGGACGCACGACTTCCATACTAGGAATTTCAAAGCGGACAAATGGCTGGAAAGTTTTCTGTGTCGGATAGGCACATATCCAGTGAGCAAAATATCCTCGATCGGTTCAAGCGTTTATAGACACAAACAGAGAAAGCGATTAACCATTTATGTTGAAACATTAAGGTCAATCACCGCCATCTTCCGGCATTATTGCTACGATGTGAAAGGAAATTGGGAAACAAATAAGATGTCAAATAAATCAGAGCGTGCGTAGGCAGCCCCGACTGAAGATCAAAATACGTCACTCTCTGCTGGATCATTCACGCATCGATACTGGACATAAATACTAGTGATGGGCCGAACTATTGCCGAATCGATTCGGCGCAGAATCTTGGAATTCGCCAAAACCGAAGTTTTGCCGAACATTTCTAAAGATTCGGAAAAAAATGTGAAAATGCATTGTGGATTTGTTTAATGTATATTGGCAGAGTTATTACTAAATAACGCGATATTGTACAATATAATTGTATCGGTGTCGTTTTTGTTTGTTTACGGGCAATTTTTACAGTGCCTTTTTGCAGAAGTGGTGTGATAGCGAGGTTGAGTGGTAGCGTCCGCAGTCACGATACGCGACTTTCGGTTTTGAGGCCTCATCAGTGCAAGCCTGCAAGTGCGTACGTTGTTAAAATGAGGGCTGTAACACTGTGTTCTTACTTTCTCTGCGAGTCACCGTTTTTTGCGCGAGAATGAATGCAACCGCTTCTGGGGGCCTGAACCAGATGAGATAGCAATATTAATGTCAATATGAAGCATTTTCTTTTCTTTTTTTGAGTCACTTGACGCCAGCTTTACATAAAAGTGTGCGTCCCGTACTTGCAACGTTTCTTTTTTAACTTCAAAGATGCCTGTTTCTGGCCTTTGCACACACGCGGACGTATAGAAAGACGGAAATAGTAATGTCGGACGTGCAACGTGGAGCATGAGAGCTTTGGGTTTAGTCTCATGCGGATGGACGAAAACCGCGAAATAACGCTAATTAAAAAAATGTATTATTTTGTTTTGGTACAAACTACTTGTGAGCCGAAAACAAGACTGCTATAATTGTGAGGAGTGCTTTAATGTGCTAGTCAGTCAATGTTGCAAGTACCTTTTTGCATCACTGGGAAGATCAAATGAAAATCACGTTATCCAGAATGTACTGCATAATTTGTCACTTCAGCAGTGGACTCCGTCAGTCCCTGGTTGATCTTCTGTTTTCGACGCGGAACACATTGAAGAGAACCAGACTCACAAAGGCTAACAAACACGCAGTTACCATGTCGCCTACTCCGCACCTCGCCGTCATCGCTGGTAGCACTACATTGCATGCAATCCATGGCCACGTCGCGTTCTCGCGCCTGCGCAAACGTTTGCCGAATTTTCCCCGAACCTTTGCCGAACTTTCCTTCAAAAGTTCGGCGTGTGCTGAACTTTGCCGAAGTTAAAATTCGGCAGATTCAGTTCATCACTCATATATATGTCTCAAATGACTTTCATACTTTATCTCAAGAGTTTTGTAAAACGTTGTTCGAGGCTTGGGCGTTTTTACACTCTAAGAAAAATGGGAGATAAAAGATAAAAACGGTGCGTTTTCCTCCCTTCTGCGTACGCGCCCCCAAGCGGGCACGAGAAGAAGGGAGGAACGAGACGTTTTTTCTCGTTGTCCAGACAGACGGGAGGAAAGTTCCACGCTCCCGCCTCATCTCCTTTCGGTTTCGTCTTTCGAGCACATCGCGCGCGTTGTTTAATAAACATTGTTGAGTGATTGAGCTTCAGCGGAAGCGAAGGCCGCCTGTATTTCCGTCTCCCAGTCCAAACATGCAGAACATCTCGACTGCATTGTCGTTTTAAAGCGCAGCCCGTTCACACACTTGCGACTCCTTGGAACCGAGCAACTTGAAACCTTTTATAATCTCTTACGACGGGGAACACACTGACACGCTGGCGCCATCTATGCGGAGACACTGGAACTGCATTTCACTAGAGCGAAGGTTTGGCGGTATTTGCGAGGTCAACTGATTGTACTACTTATGAGAAATGTTTTTTTTTAACATTGACAAAAGTTTATAAAGCCAAGAAAGACAAAATGGTGCGCAAAAGAAATTGGAAATATACGGGACCGCCCAGTGTTCCACGGCTGCCCGGTAGGTGGTGCCAGTGTGTCATCTCGTCGGAAGAGATTTTAAGAGGTTTCAAGGCACTCGGTTCTAAGAAGTCGCAAGTGTGTGAACGGGCCTCTATGCGCCAGTTTCCGTGTTCGGCCGCGTCGGCGTAGCCGCGCTAACTTTAGCGGGAAAATTGACGTCACGTGACCTGAACACCAATTGAATTTCCTGCTAAATTTAGCGGGAAATCGACGTCACGTGTCCTCAACAAAAATTCAATTCCCTGCTAAATTTAGCGGGAAATTGACGTCACGTGTCCTCAACAGAAATTCCCTGCTAAATTTGCCTGCTAAATTTAGCGGGAAATAGAATTTCTGTTAAGGTCACGTGACGTCAATTTTCCCGCTAAATCTAGCGGAAAAACTGAATTTGTTCATAGGTGACGTGACACCAAGTCATGTGACGTCATTTCCCCCAGTAACTTTAGTGGGGAAACTGAATTGGTGTTGAGCTCACGTGGCGTCCATTTTACATCTAAATTTAGTGGGAAAACTGTGGCAGGAGAGGAAGGTAAAGAGGAGGAGAAGGGGAGGGTACGGATGAGAAGGATGGTAGGATACGCAGGAGGAGGACGGGAGGGTGCCGAGGGCGAGGAGGGAGGAAAAATAAGCAGGAGGGGAGAGGAGGATGAAGAAAATAAGACGTTTACAATACCCTTAATTCCGAATTAGAGTGCAGCTCTTGAGGAGGAGGTAGGTTGCGGAGAGGAGGGTATGCCCCCTCTTCCTCCCAACACCTCCTAGAAACTAAGGCCGCAGCGCTCTTCTCGTGACGTCGAAAAGGAAGGCATCGGGGGCGCGCGTCGAAGCGAAGGCAACGCGCGTGGATCGACCGTCGTAACGTGCTTTCAGTCACATACGCGTGTCTTATTAGCTAAAATTAAAACTGCACATAGTAACGGGTCTAGAAAACATTTTATTCCTCGGGAAAAACATTACACCGCTAAATAATCGGTACGAAATGGCACGAGGTATGAGTATAAGACGTGTACATATAGAAAAATATGATTGTTGTAAGTCGAAAACATTGAGTCACGCAATTATTGCTGCGGCAATGCATATTTTATACAGAAATACTTCGACAAAATGGCGAGACACGCAGCCATTGGACACAGCAAAACAGATCAGAGTTAAAAATCAGGTAGACGTAGTCAACGCGGACACTAGACAAGTGCCACCTACGATCATGTAAGCGATGTTATCGCGTGCAGTCACTGAATTCTTGTGTTATACACCGGCCACATGGCAAAATTAATGTAACTTCGATCGAACGACATTATAAGGTCAACTCAGCTTGCGACGCTCTTATAATCACTCAAGACCGCGAGCTGATTAAATCCCATATCATTTAATGACAATATATTAACTTTTCTGCATGGCAGGGGTACTAAACTTACTATTTCCAGCCAACTAATTTACTTCTCCCTTTGGGATCGAGCTGCCTTAGAACAAAATAAAACTTATTGTGTATACAATAACACTATTACCTTAATACAGTTAAGGCAATAAAATAACATTAGTATAAATAAACAGATAAGCACAAACAACGCACTTTCAATAATCACACAAACTTGTTATTCACCTTTCAGTAAAAACTAGAACATTACCACGCATATTTACAAACCTCGACGCAACAGAACACGGATAACGACAAAGAACGAAATTCGATTCTATCACGAGATTAAAAAAAAAAAAAATCTACTGCAGCACTTCACTCGCGTCCTACATGACCAAGAAAGCCCGTACATAAGTTGTTTCTCACCTTTTGATCGTATCCATACATCCCGCAATATCCGCCACGAACACACTTGAGCACGAACTCCAAGAAGTCTTTCTCTGTCGAAAGAGAGGTCTATCGATAATCGACCAGTGTCATAGTTGACTAGTTGCCACACATTTCACTGAAACCGTAGCAGGATTTGTGCCGCGAATGCACGTAAATGACTTACCGCCGTATTCATAAACATTCCCCTACTCGACTCCAAACTCGACTCGACTTGAGTGGAGTACGGACGCGCGACTCCACTCGAAGTGCCATTCGTATTCACAGACGCGAATCGGCACTCACTCGAACTCGAGATTCCGTTCTCCACTCCAACAAGCTTGAGGACGTCTGGGAGCGAGATTATAGCCAAAGGTTTTATTTAAAACACCATTTTTACGTGAAAAGTAAATATATTCGTTCGTGTTATCTAAAAACGTGTACCATACAAACATCGAATTAGTGAACTACGAAGTTTTATTAAGGCAGCGTAAAGTTTAGACGTGTTTGAGCGGCAAAACGGACAAAGTCGTTACCTTGTCTGGCAACAAGCGCATTCGCTAGCTGCGTGTGTCGTTCTCTCGTCGACAGTCGTCTATCTCACGGTTTGTCGATTTCGTCTCGTTTTTTCTTGCTTTCGCCGCCCTTTGTCTACCGTGCAGCCCTGCTTCGTCGCCTCGCCGCCTCGCCGCCTCGCACGACAAATCATGGAGGACCCCAACGGCAACGACTCAGAAATGGCCGATACCGAAGAGCGGGCAGGGGCTCGTTTTATTTATACTGCGGAGGAGAAGGCGCTCCTCCAAGCGCTCGTAACGAAACATGCGCGAGTTCTTGAAAACAAGAAGACAAATAACTACTCGAAGGAGGCTAAACTTAAAGCTTGGGAGAAACTCAGCACCGAGTATAACAGCCAGCCAAACGTCCGCCCACGAAGCGCTAAGCAACTCAAGAAGCGTTGGGAGAACGAAAAATCCAGATACAAAAAAACCAAGTCCGACGAGACGAGAGACATCCACGCCGCGGGTAAGTCGACAATTTGCATATTTGGTAAACCGTTCCCGATGTGTAAAAAGTAAACATCGGAGAGAAGTCCTTTCGACCAGAACAATGCTATGTGCACGACGTCGTGCTCCTTTCCGGGTCTCGTATAAAACGAATTTTCAAAACGAGTTGTTCAAAGCTGTAGCGTAGCAAAGTTCGCTTCATACGCATGCAGCCGATCCAGGTTCGATCCAAAGTGGGCCTACTTCTTTGCTTTTTTCTTGACATATTTTTTTGTAGAACATTTGGCGTTATTGACATTTTTTTTTAACAATCGTCACTGAAAACAAATGAGGTCCCCGCATCTTGCCGGAAGCCTATTCTAACAAAGTGCCCAGCATTCAATTGCCCATAAGAAGGTTCCAGGTGGGCCTCCACTGGGTTGTGCTAGATTTTCTCTTCGTTAGGTTCGCTTTAGTCCCCTTAACAATTGTTTTTATCTCGCACGGAGGCGTTTCGAAAATTCAGTGTGCCCTTTGAATTGTTCGTCCCATACATTGTTCACTCTCTCCAATCTGAGCTTCAAATTCTTTGGTTTCTGTCACAGGAGGTGGGCCACGAACAAGCCGGCCGATGAGCCCCTCACTCATTCTTGTGGGAGCGGCGGCAGACCACATGGAGACAGTGGTGACAAATCTCTGCGACAGCGACAGGGCAAGAGACCGGCCAGTGCTGTCGCTGCCTCCGGCTGCAATGTTTGAAGCAATGGTGCGAGGCACTGAAGGCAATGACAATCACGCCTGCTGGAACGACGTGCCAGGTAACTGGGGGCTTTTGGATTGGGACAAATTTGCACCAACATGTCGGGGATGGGTACCGTGAGCCGTAACATGTCTACTTGTATTTGCGACTTGTATCATTTTAACAGCAAATCTGGAACAGAAAAAAAGGCACCGAAGCCTTTTTCTTTTATTGCTCGGCAACGTCTACACTATTGTACATATCTTCGAAGTTCCAAAATTGAAAATGCGAGCAGTGGGTCGTGACATAGTACTGATAGTACTGTGAATTGAAACCAAAACTAGTGGTTAATAGACCTGTTGCAAAGCGTACAGCGCCACGACGGCACAGAATTTTGGGAAGACTCGGTACAGATCACAAGCCTTCTCGTTGCGCTTCCGCGACAGCGAGTGAGTCGTGGCAGCTGCCGCCAGCAGCAGTCGCAGCCATCCGCCATCCCGCCAAACCGTCGTTGGCGGCGTACCGTATCTGTGGCAGTGGGCGCGTTAAGTCGGCGCTCTTTTACTCCTCCTACTCCGAGTGCGGCAACTAAACGGCGCATAGCGTACAGGAGCGCGACACACCGAGGCTGCGTTCCAAACCTACTCGAATGGATACGAGTTACCCTGGCGGATTATGTCACGCGACATCAAAAATAGAGAAACGCTGGACGCGGGTAGGTTTTCGACAACCACCTTTACCCTAGAGTTAGATCGAGTAAGTTTTGGAACACGGGCTTTCCCGCAACACATCGTAGGATAGCGGTGGCGCAGCAGGCGTTTGCGACTTTTATTCAAGCGCATGCCCGCATAAAGCTTTATGCCTGTGGTGCCGGGAACGCCATCCAGATTCGGCGACATTCGGGCATGTGCAGTTTCGTGGCTCCGGGTTCGTTCCTCCGACGTTGCGTCAACCGCATGTGGCGATGGCAACAATCGTAAAGAAACGTACGTCGCTGACGTTCGCGACAAAGCTTGAAATCATCCGCCGCGTTGAAAAAGGAGAAAAGAAGTCCAGCATTGCCGAAGCGTACAACATACTGCGAAGCACTTTGAGCACGCTGCTGAAGACGAAAAGTGACATCAAACCGAAGGCTGAACAAAGCAAGCACTCCAGCACACGCCGTGTTCGGACACTGGCCTTCGAAAAGGTGGAAAGATCACTTCACAAGTGGTTTATGGACGCAAGGGCTCGGAACATTCCGGCGTCAGGCCGATGCTTCAACAGAAAGCAAAGGACTTCGCATTCATCCACCAAGCACAAAACGTCGCCGCAAGTAGCGGGTGGCTGCAACGCTTCAAAGCCTGTTACAACATTGTCGGGAAGACGGTCTCACTTTTACGCTGCTACTGCAGTGCAATCGACGGTAGTGATCTGGCGCTGGTGGACTGCTTGGAGACAGTGGAGCCGGCCGTAATAAGGCATGCAGTCAGCTCCATGCAGCAATCTACGCTGCGGCAGTTTTTTTCGTCGGAATAAATAGTTCACCTTAACGCTTCACGTGAATACTATACTACGTTTCAACTTCCGTCCGAACGCAGCCAAAGCTACGTGTGGCCGGAGCCAATCACACGCCGGCAATTGGTCACGCGATCTCGCCTGCACTTGGTATCGCTCCGCTGCGCCGCTGGCCGTCCGCGCCGCCCGCGCTCGCCGAGTATTTTGTCTGCTACGGGTGTATCAACGAAATCGTCTGCTACAGGTTTAAAAAGTGACCTTTCACGTTCTGAAATTTAGTCGCAGGGGATGTCAGTACGTATGCTGGCCGCTGGCGTCTGTGTCCGAGCTTTCCACCTGTTCGGCATTTCGGCATAGTTTCGAGATGTAAGTAGACATTGCAAGATGCCCGACGACCCGGCCATTGATGTTTCCTTGTATTGTCTGGATATACCAGGGCTCGAGCCACAGTCCTTTCTACCAGCTTCTTGGCGTACAATGTGATCGGCAGGTAAAGGGGTGCCCTGATTTCGCTGTGTATCAGGGAATTGTAGTGGCCTGGACGCTTTTCTAGTTTACAAAGCATTTGCGGTACGACGTGCGGTACGACGCGGCCGGAGTCTCCTGCAGAATTGAAAAGTAGACATTCATTACGACCTCTCGCGCCTGACGCCCAGACATGCCTTTGCGAAAGGACATTTTGAAGAGACTCGGTGAGGAAAGCAACAAACAAGCAGCGAAGCACATGATTCGGTAATTACAGGAACAAAATCAAAACTGAGCGCTGCAGCCGTGTTGCCAGCGGGACGTACGTTTTTTCATCAAACCACATGTATCTACATATATTAATAAGAACTTAAACTTCAGATATTTAATTCCTTTAGTTGCAAATCATTCTCAGCAGTACACATCTGGAATATTGTGCAGCGTTTACGCACAAAGCAATTGTTTAAAAGGAATTACTTTTGCGGACTACTTTGCGATGCGTAAAAATGCTCTTCTCGAAGTTGCGAAGCGTCCGTCAGCCTTTGGCTGCGCTCGAACGGAAGCTGAAACGAAGTATAGTCATTTTTCGCCGTTAGCCTTTCACTGATTAAATCGCGCTGTACTTTGACGCTCTTTTTGTGTGTGACTTTGTATATCGAATTTTGATTATATCGAACTATTTCACGGTCCTTGCACTGTTCGATATAACGAGGTTTGACTAATTTGCCAACGCCTAGCTTTGAACATTTCTACGAAAGGCCCATGTGGCTGTTGGGCCTCTTCCCCTGTGTGCTTGCTCTTCCCCTAGCACTCACAGTGCCAATGTGCTTTGCACGCCCAGATGCTCCTGATCCGTCCGCCTCACCTCTCCAAGACAGCAGCGTTGGAGCTGCTTGTGTGACTCCGCCGGCAAGGAGCATTACCTGCCCCCGTGCTGAGCTGCCAAGCGGGGCATCCAGAAGAACTGGAAACCGCATCGCAGCACTGGAGCGGATCATGGCTCCCGAAAAAGAGGCCCGTGTAGACATCCTCGAGAGGGAAGATCGGCGGAAGGAGGCGCAACATTTAATGCAAATGCGCATACTCCGCAACAAGCTTTTTGAGCAGCGACGACGCGGACGGGCAGAGTTCCAGCTGCTCCAGCTGGAGAGAGAGATAAAGGTGGAGCAGCTGGCAGCCCTGCGCTGCAAGCTACAAGGGTGTGGAAATCACAATTAAATTTGGGTTCTTTCAGTTTAAAAGCATTCCGAGGATTTACTTATTTATTTTATGTGCGCTACATTGTAGTGAAACGATAGAACCTAATGTGTTTTGCATATTCGGAAGTTGAATGAAACAGCACACTACAATTGAAGGGAAGGGTAGGTCTTTCGTTAGCTCTGTGCTGGCCACAAGTCTTTCCCAGAATATGTTAGATTGACCAAATACGCGGAATTGGATTTGAAAATCAATTTATTCGAGCGCTTACTACTGAATTCGTGTCCAAGTATTTGCACGAGTCAGTGACGGGTCAAGAACAGAGTACAAGCTGGAGATGAGAAGTAGGATGGAAGCTTTAAGTGGAGAGGAGGTTTCTCCTCTCCACCTCAAGCTTCTGTCTGCTTCCTCCTCTCCAGCTTGTACACTATCCTTGACCTGTCATTGACTATAAACGTGTGCTACTGGTTGAATATCCCTATTGGAAACACAGTGCGATGATCTGTGTGCGTTTCAGTGAGCCGTTGATTGTGTCGACAGGGTCTGGAGGTGATGGCAGTACATGAGGACGCAGCCGCCTCCGGCGTCGGGGTACTGGTGGAGAGGGTAGAGCAGGTGGGCATGGCTCTTTTCGCAGCAGGGCCAGGTTGTGCAGTGCAGCACAGGCGGTGATGATGAGGGCTGACCGTTCCGCCTTGTACTGTAGCCGCATGTCCAGGCATGGGAAGCGTCGCTTGAACACTCCAAATGCCCGTTCGACCGAGTTCCTTGTTTTTAGGTGAGCTGCTTGGTACCTATATGGTGCAGCATTGGTAATGGAAGCAACGTTGCAAGATAACGGTCTTCAGGTGTAAAAATCGCCATTGCTGCAACCATCAGTATGGTTCAGTAACCTGTACAGTGCGGCCCATCCATGCTAGCTGCATTTTCGGCATTTTCTATTGCTTACCAGAGGCTACTGTTCTGCATACAGTGGTTTTGGCTGGTGTTTTCTACATTACCGTCTTAATTCAAGTTCTTGGCCCTAGTCCAATTCTAGTGACAAAAAGCAACAATTGACACCGACTAACTGTGACGAGGAAGAACAACAAATGTTCTCGAGGAAAATAAAAATAGAACTAAAATGTTGTATGCTACATACTTTTGAAACAAAAATTTGTCCACAGGAAGTGAATAATGCCAGCTTTTTTTGCCATACAAAGGCTTAAAGGTCATGAATCTAGCTGTGACAAAGATTTGCAGAACTAATAGTAACCAATAGGAACACTGTGGCTACAGCATCACTTCTTGTTAGCTGTTCTGAATTTCATGCCATTATTTCTTCCAACAAATTAGTACATACCTGCCCTTTGGGCTGTTGGCTACACCTGGGCTGGTCAGGGGCGTCAGAAGAAATGACATGCAGGCATAGCCTGCATCTCCGAGCAGCAGGTTAGGGATGCGCCGATTCTCGTACAGGACCCTTGCACGACTGTTATCGAATATCCTGCTGTCATGCACGGAGCCTGGCCATCTAGCAACAAGGTAAAAAAACTGCAGCTGGGGTCCTGTGATGGCCTGTGGATAGGAAGGAGCAGTACAGGGATGAGCAGGTTGCCATGATATGAACACAAGTGCTCAAGCTGATATTTCTACAATGATTAGTATATTTTTGACAAAGTGCATCTGCAAGCTTTGGAAATTAACTAGCATTTGAGTTCTCGCAGTTTTATGTGACGTAAGCTTCAATGTGGCTTAATTCCTAGGTTTTTCACGCAGTATAATAGAAGAGAATTTGAGCACGGGACAAAGTCTCCCTAATATTTTGTTCGAAAAGTATAATTCAAGGGGAAAATATCCCAGGTGAAAATCAGTCCACTTCCAGCTGGATTATGGAACTGGAAATGAGGCAGTCCACCTAGATTCCAGCTGGGTCCAGTTGGATTCCAGCTGGAATACAGCTGGACTGCCTCATTTCCAATTCCATAATCCAGCTGGAAGTGGACTGATTTTCACCTGACCGTTTGCTATAAAATAACAAAAGCCACCTCGGCACCCAATTAGATGTATGTTTCCAAACACAATACATAATTCTTGGTTTTGAACCCTCTCTAGCTGGCCCACCACCACTCTGCACTGTCGCAGAGTGCAGATCTCTCTACAAGTTCTAGTCTATATCAGTCACAATATCGCCGAGCTTTCACGTGCCGCACCGGGTCTTGGCGTGCCGTTGTTTTCAACTTACTTCGCTGCCGCTAACAGCACAGACAGAAGTGAACTTACCTGCACGTTGAGGGAGAAGAACCCCTTCCTGTTCCTGAAGACTTCCCCATTGGGACCGCCAGGTCCCTTTATTTTGACGTGGGTGCAGTCGATGCACCCAGTCACACTGGGGAACTTCCCGATGTTGTAGAAATCCCGCATGACCTCGTCGCAGTCGCCCTCCGGGAAATCCACGAGGCGGGGGAAGAGAGTCTCGGCGAGGACCCGGGAGACACGCTCGATTACGCGGCACACCGTCGGCTGCGACACGTTCACGAGGTCGCCCGTGACTACTTGAAAAGTCCCGGCGCCATAAAATCTCAGCGCTACGAGGAGCTGGAGCATCGGGGACAGTGGCAGGCCGCGACTGCTCTCGTTTGCTTCCAGCGGCAGGCACTGCAGGAGGCTTACGACTGTCGATTTTGTAAAACGATAGCGCACCAGGAACTCCCAATCGTTGAAATGCTCCAGCGGATTGAGCCGGTCCCGGCAACGTCGTCTCGGCACATCGACGTCCTGGTCGGGGTCTCGGTCGTCATGAAGAACTTCGTCCGTTCTCAACACGAAGTCGACGAAGTCGGCGAACGATGCGTCGGCCGCCATGACACTGAACGCACTCGAGTGACTCGAGTGGCCGTTCAAGGTAGCTCCGGCGCAGACTCGAGATCTCGAGTAAATTTTGGAGTTTCGAGTGGAGATTTTGGAGTCGAGTGGAGTTTCGAGTGGAGATTTGTTTATGAATCGCAAAACCACCCTCAAGTCGAGTTTCGAGTCGAGTTTCGAGTCGAGTAGCGTTTAAGAATACGGCGGTTAGGGTCGGTTGCACCAACGCCGCTTACCTTAACCCAAAGCGGCGCTTTCCTAAGCCGGCTTAGCGCCCTAAACCGAGCTTAGGTAAGCACGGGTTTAAATTCCGGTTGCACCAACGTTAAGCCGGCTTTACAGACGCGCCCCTAGCTAAACGCTGGATTTGCGTAGGGAATCTAGGGACAAACAGAGCAAACTAGGGAACGCTCAGAGCGACGAATACGATTGGCGGAGAGGAATCACGTGATGTAAACAAAAAAGAAAAAAGAAAAACTGCCGTAGTAGTCGTCGTCGGCGTCTGCTTTTCGCTGTATTTCTTCGGTGAGTAACAAATTAAAGGCCTCCAAATTCAATCATTTTTTCGTTTAACTTTCAATAACAGAATTCAAAGCTTCAAATAAACACGAATGCTCTTTACATCTTTGATTGTGTGTTTAATATCGGTTGATAACAGGATATTTTGACAGTGGTAGTAGTTTTCGTGCTCACATTTTGAGGCGAAGGAGCCATCGGGGGCCCCAAATCTCACCGAACGCGAGGACACTCTACTCGCTACATCGCTGAAGACAAAACATCATGGATATAAGTAGGCAGGTAAGATGACTACTAAAACCAAGTCAAGCCTGAGACCGATGAAGTTCAAAACAGTGACGAACTCGCCACGGCAGCTGCGAAAATGCCCGGAAATCTTCGAATAGAAGTCGTCGAGAGGTCAGGTCAAGAGTCCTTGCATCGACGGTACTCGTTGCTATCAGCAAGGTGACAGAACTGCACTGTACCGTCGTTGAACATCCGCTGCAGCCTCAAACGGACTTCAGTTTCACACTGTCGAGTTCAGAAAAAAAAAAAAAAAAAAAAAAAAAAAAAAACTCCCACTAGTACATTACATTGTGCCGATAAGAACGGTCGTCTCTTCGCATCACCTGCCCCAGCCTGCCCCGATACAGCAATGCACGAATCTAACATAGTAGTCGTTACGATTTGTCGTGACCACGAATGAAAGATATAAAGCAAAATATTCCTAAAAAATCGCGATCACCAAAAAAGTTACGGAGGACACAACAAGGCGCAACTTTCAACTGAATTTTATTGAAAACGTGTTGCGGTATATAGTCTCAACCATCGTCACAATGACAACACACGACAAAAGTAAAGGGAAAACACCATCACAGAGCACAACTCGGAAACAACAGTATCTCGTTCTCGGGAAACGAATGAAAGATATAAAGCAAAGTATATAAAAAAAAATGCGATCACCAAAAAAGTTACAGTTATGGAACGATACAGTTTTCTGAAGCCAAGATTCTACTCGCGAGATAAGGAAAATTCACTGAAGATCGTCTCAAAACTCAGAAAACGAAAGAAATTGAATTTTCGCTGTTTTATTACTTAAAAGCGCCGCAATCTAATGCAAATGGCAGAGGTGTCGACAATCAGCTGATCGCCGAGATCATGTACTGCCACTATTCAACGCGCTGATCAGATTGAAGGATACGCGTTGCAAGTGTAAATAAACAAGGTGGTAAATAACAATACGTTACAGCTATGCGAAAATAAGTAAGTACATACGAATAAGCTCGTTGACAGAAGAACCAACGGGAATACAGACGTGAGCCCCACAGCTCCGTACGTTTCTCGGTTAGGGCTAACACGCCCTGAAAGTGGAGAGCCAACTTGAAAACAGGGGTCGATAAACACTTCACACGACAATATTTTGCATCCTTGTCACAATCGAAAGTCATTTTGTCGAGACTTTCACGCTGATGTAGCCTAAAACACTTTGCACAACCAATTTCGTCCACCGCGTCGACCGTGACAAACCAGCCGCCATGTTTTTAATCCAGGATTAAGAAACAACCAGAAGCAAAGCGCCCAATGTTGGGCGCTCAAGTTAAGCGTAGTTTAGTGCTAGGTTTAGCGATAAGCGAGTTTGGTGCAACCGAACGAAACCGAAACTAAGCTTAAGTTCCCGGCTAAGCTCCGCTTTGCGCTAAGCGACGTTGGTGCAACCGGCCCTTAGCATCAAACGAAAAAAAAAAAAAAAAAAACTACCCGAGATTGCGGTGACGACAGAAAAACGACAAGAAGAAGGAAACTAATCTCAAAAGAACAACACAGAAGAGCAGCGGCGACGAAAGGCTTAATGTTGCCGACACATCTCTTGCTCGTGTGCGCTCCCTGCGGCAATGACTGGAATTTTTTTTCGGTTTCGTTCCCTTCTGAAATGTCTGAGGGTTCCTTTTCAGACAGTCAGCAGCTCACACACAACGTAAATTTGCCAGAATCGGAGCCCATAAGCGGGAAGAAAATGTCGCACCGGGCCGGTTTATTCGAAGAGTGTGGGACCTGGGGAGCTGCGGGACTGCACGTAATCCCGCGGTTACGGGGATAATCATAAATACAAATTTGGTACTTTCAACCTTGGTAACGGGTGGTATATTACGTTTACATTATATATTGTGGAGATCTGGCTGCCCTCCTCCGCGCTTACCCTCCGGGCCACAGATTCCAGCCATTCGGGCTTCGTCGTGGGCCCGGCAGAAGCTTAACGCGCCCTGCCTCAGAGATGCCTCATGCCCCGGGGGAGGGGGTCTTTGATGGCCTTGCGCACCGCAAGATCCGGCTAAACCACTCCCCTAAGCCAACTGACGTCACGCGACTGGCTTCTCAGAACAGAGGGGCCAAGGCTTGAAAAGGGGACGCGGGACAAAGGGAGGCTCAAGGGAGGAAGTGGCCGAGTGGGCTAACGCGTCTCAGCTCGGAGCGTGGAGCGAAAGCTTGCGCTGGGAACCTCCTGGGTTCGATCCCCGCCGCCCCCGCCCGTTTCGATCTGGATGAGTTTCGTACCGGCACGCGTTCGTGTGATCACTACTGCGTGATGCACGTTAAAAACCCCAGGTTAGCGGTTGTACCGCACTGGCCAAATTTCTCATCTACAGCTAAAAGACCGATTACCCGTTAAGGCGCATCTCCATCAAGGCTGTATAAACATAAAGAGCAAGCCAATTTTTATTTTTTAAGGGAGGCTCTTTCGAACAGCGGACAGCAAGAAGCGCGCTGCGGTGACCGGAGAGAAGAGGCTGGCGCAGGAATCGACGGGGAGACGCACACTGGCGCGGGGCAGTGCAGGCGCTACGTGGAGCTGCGGACTCGACGAACGGACCGGACAGCGACCCCTGGACGACGACGTCGCAATGACGCGGTGTGGACGACTACCGCAGGGACATGGAGTAGCTGCAGTGGCAGCGGACTACCCTCCGGTCTCGCTGATGACCGTTCCCCGATCCC